GGCGATATTGAATAGTGTTAATGAATATGATGTCTAAAGCGGATGTAGTAATAGCAATAATTAAAGGCCATATTTTTTTGTTCCTCGAACAGAAAGTTAAACCAAGTTTGATAATATTTAATTTTGGGGATAGCTGAGACGATTCTGAACTACGATTTCGTTTGCAAAAATTTCGAATGGTGTCGAATTATTAACGAAAACGAAGAACTATCCGCAAAGGGAATTGTGGTTCAGAATTGTCTCAGCTTACCCCCTATTTCCGGTTCTTACACTAATTCAACGACACCCTGTATACTCTACCCATGGAAATACTGTCTGAGTAGGTTTGGGATAATATTTGGTGGGGGCGACGATATTGAATAGTGTTAATGAATATGATGTCTAAAGTGGATGTAATGATAGAAATAATTAAAGACCATATTTTTTGTTTACTCGACAGAGAGGTAAACCAAGTTTGGCAATTTTGAATATACTTAATTTTAAATTTTGCGCCGCCTCCGAAAAAGGTGCATTGCATTTAATATGATGTATTTAATAATTTAACCAAATTCATCAAACGATGGTGAATAACAATGCAGTTTAAATAGAAATTATTTCACACTTTTCACTGCATTTTCCCATACTTTTAAGCAATTATATCTAGAGCTAGTGCGTATTCATATAAATTGACTAGAAATTATTTCATACTTTTCACTGCACCTTTTTCGAAGTCGGTTAAATTTTTTTTTCCAAAAAATTAGTTTATTTTACTCTTTTCAGGGGCAATCTATAATCAGTAAGTTTCATGCAGTAACAATAGTTATGAGCAATATATAGGCTGACCCAAAAACGTTGGAAGTCCTTGAAAGGGGTGGTTCCGGGGCGGGTGGGGTGGTGGTTAGAAATAATTTTTCCTTAGCGATAATGGTGTTTGAGGCTTCGTTAAGGGGATATTCCAAAAACAAACTAACGACCAATCAGAGCGCGAGTATGCCGGAAGAGCGCCTGCGCCTACGCTACCGCAGTCGTTCACGGTATACTCGAGCTCCGATTGGTCTGGGGTTTCTGTCAATATCTCCTTAACGAAGCCTCGAACAACATTTTCGCTATGAAAAAATTATTTCAAATCACCTTCCGAAACACCCCATTCAAGGACATCCAACATATTTGGGGCACCCTGTATAGTTGCAAATGAGATTATCAGGAATGCTGGAAGGTTATACAAATATGAAATTAATCGGGATCGGAATCGGAATTAATTAATGAACCAAGAAAAAAAAATAGGAATTTTGCAATAACAATAGTTATAAACAATATGAAAAATGCATAAATTTTTGCAAATGTGATCATCGCGAAAACCTGTACGGCAGCAAAATGTAAGGGGTTTCATCGATTTCATCGATTTCAGGCCAAACATACGTGAAATAGTACGCTTTTTGCGATCAAAAGTGATATAAAGTGGTAAAAAACAAAAGATGGACAAATGTTTTGTTATGGGACCAAATGGCAAATGCTCTTCCAGATGCATGAAGTTTCAATCTGATTGGTCCATCCGTCTCGAAGTAAGAACCAAGACAAAATTTTTCTGTTTAAAAAAAAAAACGGGTAATAAAATGACAAATCACAAAATGTTTCTTTTACGCGGCCAACTGGAAGAAATATTCGACAAGATGCAAGAGGTTTCACTCCGATTCATCAAGCCATCTCGACGTAATTGGCAAGCATACCTAAAAATCACAGTTTTTTGGTTTAAAAAAAAAAAAAAAAACAACGGGTAAAAAATGACAAATCCCAAAAAGTCTTTATGGCAGGATCACGGGGGAACATGCTCTACAATACATAATATATATAACCTCCTCTTTTTCGATGTCGGTTAAAAATAGCAATTCTCCGTATAATTCCCCGATATGGTTGGTACCCAAAAAACGGACGCATTGGGAAAACCAAAGTGGCGACTTGTAATAGATTACAGAAAATTGAATGAGAAGACCCATTTAGATGTATACCCCTTATCTAACATAGACGATATTTTAGATCATTTGGGAAAAGCCAAATTCTTTTCAGCATTAGATTTAGCTTCAGGATTTCATCAAATTCCCATGAACCAAGATAGCAAAAAGTATACAGCATTCTTTACTTCAGATGGACACTTTCACTACAATAGAATGCCATTCGTACTAAAAAATGCGCCTTCTACGTTTCAACGAATGATGAATATAGCTTTTAACGGATTAATCGGAAAAGATTGCTTTATATACCTAGATGACATTATAATATTCGGAAAAAGTATCGAAGAACACAATAAAAATCTCAGTATAATAGGTATTTCAAAGACTTAGAGATACCGGACTGAAAGTACAACCGGACAAATGCAAGTACTTGCGACCAGAACTCGAACTTCTAGGACATTTGATCACTGCTGATGGAATTAAGACCAATCCCGATAAAATTAGAGCCGTAAAAGACTTCAATATTCCTAAAACTTCTAAAGAAGTGAAAAGTTTTCTCGAACTTACAGGATATTACCGTAAATTCATTAAAAACTACGCGAAAATAGATAAACCACTGACAGATTTGACACAGAAAGACGTACCCTTTCACTGGACTGATAAACAACAAAGTAGTTTTGAACAAAGTAGTTTAGAATTACACAACAACTGAAAACGAGCTGTTAGCAATTGTCTGGAGAATAAAAATATTGAGACAATATTTATTAGGAAGAAAATTCACAATACAGACAGACCACAATGCGTTGACTTGGTTATTTAATATAAAAGACCCATCATCTCGACTTTTGAGATGGAGGCTTAGGTTGGAAGAATACGATTATAAAATTTAGTACCTCAAAGGAAAAGAAAATGCCGCGGCCGCGCTTTCGCGACGAATATATCCTATTACAAAAAGAGATGCGATACAGAACCCAGCTGACTTAGTCCCCGACTCTCCTGCCAGCGGACCAATGACCCTACAATCACAGCGATCCGAAGAAATACTTATAGCCTCTGAAACCGATTCTTTATTAGAAAATTTTACAGTGCCCACGCTATCGGAAAATAGAGATAAATTACAGAACAATGAACCGAAAGACTCACCTCCGATTAACTATAACGAAGAAATAAGTATTGAGACTAGATTCTTAGAATATTTAGCATACATACCTAAACCGGACGACAAACAGCTTGAAATAATTATTCGACAACTTAAAAATGCGATCCCTATGACGATCGATGAAACTGTTGAAGAAAACGACTTGTTTTTACAACTATTTCATTTTATTTCTGAGTATATAAAAATTTCAACGCGCATAGTTATACAAGCAACGAGCTTATTAACAAATCATACTAAATTTATTACTCATAAAATTTTACAATACCTGCAAAATTTTCATAATTTTGAGATTAAAATTAATTGGAATTCTCCTACCGAACTAACGGAGGATATGAAAGTAAAGATAATAAAAGAATATCATAATTCCAATTTCGCATAACATTTGGGTGAAAATAAAACGATAGCTAAAATCCGAAATAAACACGACTCGAGAAATCTAGATCAAACTCAAAAACTAAACAGTATTAGACCTACCATGGAACCTATAATAACAGATAATCCCATGAACCCTAACGAGAAAATAGCGATGGACATATTCGGCCCGTTAAATAAAACAAGACGAAATAACCAATACATTCTTTCCATTAACGACTCGTTCACCAAATATTTAATGTTAATTCCTTTACCAGACACTAGAGCTGAAACGTTAATTCCCAAATTTATAGACCATTACATATGTTGCGGAACAATCAGTTAAAATAGAGGTTTCGTCGTTGGCAATAGATGTAAAAGGGGAAACGAGTGGGGATCGACGGCTCGAGTCCAGCGACTACAGCTGATTACCGTTCCGCTCTTCCCCTCCCGTGTTTATTGTGTCTCCAATATTAGCGGTTTACCTTTGAAGCAAAAGGCAGATACTGTTTCGCTTAACACATTAAAAGGGGGAGTCGTAGTACTACGATTTATCTCGACTGTAGCTTAAAGGCGGGAGTCGTATTAGTACGGTTTGCAACCACATTGCGCAATGCATGCGCCGCTTTACATTTGAATTTAGTATATTTTGTGTTTTAAAGTTGTTCGGTTGTTCAAATTCTAGTTACAGTAAATTTTGAAATCCTTCAATATGGTTTCACACGAAAATAAAGATATATATGCAGATGATTTGCCTGGCGTTGATTGCGATGAAAGAGAGTTAGATATTGATAATAATGATAGTGATATTGACGATAATGATAGTGATAGTTCTATACGACCTATGAGAAGGACCCGAGTTTTTCCACTACCGATTAGTGATGATGAAAGTGACAATGATTATGAAGAAAAAATTATACATCAATGGACTGAAGTCGACATTCCACCTACCATAAAACCGTTTTTGGATCTAACGGGGTTAAATATTTTACCATGGAACGGCGTTGAAGGATCTCTGGATGTGTTCCTTGATGATAATTTCTACGAAATGATGGTAACAGAAATTAGTCGATATCACCATCAAAACGTCGAAAAATATGTTAAAAAGAAGAAAACGATAAAATGGACGGATCTCACTATTGGCGAATTCAAGAAATTTTTAGGGTTATTAATTCTAATGGGCCAAATTCCAAAAAGTACTATCGATGAATATTGGACAACAGATCCATTATTATAAACACCAATATTTCCAAAGACAATGAGTCGTGATAGATTTAAAGAGATATGGAGATGGTGGTACTTTGTGCTAACCCGTTATTTCCGCGACAACAAGTTTATACCTAATAAGTAAAACCGTGTCGATACTCGACTACACCGTGCTATCTCGGTTTTAACTTTCTTGTTCTACTTGTGTTTGATCTAAGTTACCGTTTGTTTTATTGTATTCTAATTGTTATTAAAAGTGAGAACGCCTTTCAGCCAAAACAAAAAGTGACGTCGTTTAATTCAAAATCCAACCTATCACTCCGAGAAATCTGCAGTTTTTCATTACAACATATATACATTTTCAACCCCCAAAAATATTTTAACGGATCAAGGAACCAACTTAACAAGTAGACTCATGGAACAATTCGAAGAACAGTTTCAAATTAAACCAATTCGGACGACAGCTTTTCATCCTCAATCTAACGGTAGTTTCAAACGCATCCACGCTGTAATAAAAGATTTAATTAGGACATGTATGGCGGAAAAATATAACGAATGGGACGAGAACCTCAATGCCATATGCTACGGATACAACACTTCCATTCATGAAGCCACTGGTTACACTCCCTTCGAACTTACCTTCGGTTACAAACCTAATAACCCTTCGACAATTCCTACACACACTAATCTTAAATATCACGACCTTGTAAAAATTTGGAAAAAATGACATGACGCATATATACAAAAGGCTAGAGAAAATTCACAGAAAGCTAAAGAAAAATACAGGGAAATTCAATTGAGAAAGCTAAAGAAAAATACAGGGAAATTCAATTGAGAAAGTTAATCAAACCCCAAACCCTTTTTAAATTCGGAGATAAAGTCTGGATACACAATGATCACAAAATACACAAATTGACTGAGGGCCTGCAAAAATTATAAAAATACAAACACCAAATTACGAAATTCAATACTTAGGCTACGAGTATAAGACACAATTAGTACATGTTGTCCTCGGGCCATATATACATAGAAGAAATAGTTCAGGCAAAATTATACTACAAGGAATGGAATCTCATATTTATAACCAAATTAACCAACCCCCAGGTGATGGCTAACAAAATTCGTAGTATTATAACTTCACTTGAAGGCTTATGTCACGGAATCTGCGAGCTACGCGTAGATGAAAACTACGAGAAGTGAAAGTTACTTCAGTCTTATCAATAAAAACATCGATAAACTTTTTCTCGCAAAAAATAGTTTATCAATCGCATTACAAAGTCAAACTCACATAATAAGAAATCTTTTAAAAACTGAAACTGATGGAGAACTTGAACGAATTACTAACAAACTACAACGTGAAAATAACATCGTTGATACGAATAGAAAACGGTCTCACTTAAATATGCGCAATTAATAAAATTAAACCTTTTGATAACAGAAACAATTAACGAAGTAAAGACAATTCAAACCGACATAAGTTTAGGATAAATGGGGATAATATCCTAGTCCTATTCCATAATCCTAGAAAACCTACAATTAATCTACCAAATTAAGATATCGCATCTAAAATTAGAACAATGGAATGTAATACAATTTTATCCAATTTCACAGAAACAAAACCAATACTTTTATTCTATCGTACCAGACCATTACATAATGCTGTACCAAGATAACTCTTATATCTCTGCGGACCGAGCGTACTTAACATATTGTAAATCAAATACGCGACCATGGATTTGTAAACGTACGTTACCTACTCATTCCCTTTTAAACGCCAAGGACTGCGAAGGCGAATTCTTCAAAGTCAATAAGGAACAGAGTACAAAAAAATTGTGTACAATATCTTTATTTAAAATCAGCGGTTTTTCATATATTCCTCTTAACGATAACACTAAGGTACTTATTATACCGGAACATGCGACTTTAGTCAATGTAATGTGTGATAAGCAAAAACAAAAAATTGTATATTAAGGGGGTAGACACGGCACGTGACCTCTCCGATTCGGCAAGTTGGTATTACAGCAATGGTATTACCATTATATATGCGGCAGCGGAGGAAAGCTAGATGGAGCTGCTCGTTGTTGCCATACAGTATAGTTTCTTCTGAACAACATATATTGCATATTTCTTTCTTGAGTGATTCCGAATGCTCAGCGTAGGAAGTAGTAGTATTCTGTTCCGCGCTGCGTATTACATTTGTGTAGTACGGTCACACTTCACCATCGCGCGTGCATATACAAATAGGAGCTAGGTTGGGGGACGTGAGTTGCTCTGCGCTATCGAGAATTTGGAAAACTTTAACAATTTTTTAGGCGATAACGGTTCGTCTCCGGCATGTGGCTCCTTTGAAGCTTTTTAACTACTCCTCGAGTAGAATTTTTTAAAATTAAAAAAAACTTTGACCTTAAATTTCGAGGTCATAATGGATTTTGCGGACGGTTTTTTTTGCAAATGTCCACTGATCCAGATGTGTACAATAACCCCTGAAAGTGGTGACCAATAATTTTTATACACCCTGTACACCCTGATTTCATTTATAAAAATAAAGAAGTTTAATACAAATTACTTTTTGAGTAATTTCTCCTGAAAAATCCATTATTAATATTTCCTATTTCCTATTTCCCATAAATATTTTAAAAGAAGCGTTTAAAAAATATTCGGATAATGTGAAATTTATATTTAGAAGATGCGTATTGAATATTCGGGCAATGTTGAATAAATCTTGAAAATTAAGAGATTCGAAACAAAAATTAAATCAAATTTTATATTGTGTTTCATTTATTCGTAGATTTTACTTTTATTACTTTATTTCTTGTGATTGGATTTAATTAAAACAAGTTATTTTAATTTTTTTTACCTCGGTGGGAATTTGAATATCAGATTAATATATATTTTATATTCGGGAAAAAATATATTGTTGCGAATATTAAATAAATATGTATTTTATATTCGGGAAATAATATTTTGTTGCCAAAATCAAATGAATATCTATTTTATATTCGTGAAAAAATATTTTGGTATGAATATCAACTAAATATGTATTTTATATTTGGGAAAAATATTCCATTCTAAATATTGAATAGATATTCATTTTATACTTAAAAAAAAATATTTTTTTCTAAATCTAGAATAAACATCATACGTATATTTAAATATTAAAATGAGATTCAATCTCTTTTATTGGATGAATATGTATTCAATATTTTGTGCTACTAGGGTATGTGAACCTGACACCCAAATGCCAAAAAATGAACTTTTTTTTATGGAAAATGATAGTGTTTCGTTTCGATTTTAGTATTAGGTTGTTACAATTTCTTTTCATTTATCAATTGATGAAACTACAAAAGAAATATTATCTTTTCCGTAAAAAAAGTTAATTTTTTAAGTCAGGTGCCACTGAGGAAATGGATATTCACATAGCTTACAAGGAGACATCGCCTAGTGTCCCCTGAATTATTTAATCAAATTTTTTTCAAATGTAAAGAAGGGTATGTAGGACAATCTCTGCAAGTGAGAAGGCGCGGCTCTCTTTCGTTTTCGATAAATAAATTTTTAAAAATAGCTAAATTTCGATCGACGAGTGTCAACCGTATAAGAGTCGGGGGTATTATGGAAGCAGCGTGACAGTCAATAGAATGCTATATTGCGAAGGCGATCTTTTGCGGTGGAAGCGGTTCGATCCTGGTAGAAGTCACTTATTTTTTTTTTTACTTTTCCTTCCGTTTGTACCATGTTTTGTTATGGAAACTACATTTTTATATATGTAGGATTTATTATATGTTACTATGTTTATAAAATACTGACTTAACTATTAACGAAACTAAAATGAATAGAGTCCGCTCAACGATCCGCTCTACGTCTATTCGCGCCGTCTTTACCCTTCGACTGCTCAACTAAATCTGTCCTTCGACGCTTCTTTCTCTACCTCCCCTTAAAGTTAAACACCACCCAGGGTTTTTCCCAGGCAGGGAAATATCAGCCCAAGTGGCCAGGTCATAAATTAAACTAAACTAAAGCTACGTTACAATATCCTTATACCTATCCTATAGCTAACGCTCTCTCTCTTTCTCTCTCACGCACACGCACACATTCCCACTCCTACATATATTAAGATTATTTTTATACAATATTGTGCAATTTTAATGTTTTTTATCGCATTGAAAAAGGAGTCAGAAAAAGGAGTCAGAAAAAAGAAGGAAGAAAAAGGAAGAAGAAAGAAGTTGGGGAATGTTTGTTTAATATAATTAAATTGTTATTTACAAACTATAATGACGTAAGTTTTTATAAAAGCTTGAAGAATCTCCTTTCACATCCTAACTTCTTTCTCGAAGCGATAAAAAGCATAAAAATTGCACAAAATTGTTTAAAAATAATCTTAATATATAAAAAGGTAGTTTCCATAACAAAACATCATACAAACGGAAGAAAAAGTAAAAAAAAAAAAAAAATAAGTGACTCCTACCGGGATCGAACCCCGTCCAGCGCAAAGCTAGAGTTTCGAAGCGACGACGAAAGTAGAAAGAAACAGTTCGATGAAGAAGGAAGAGAGACTGAGAGTCGACGTTGGCAAATGTGAGGATACGGGATCGGGATGCTAAGCGCGATTTCGACCTCAGTGAAATGGCAATAGTGTAGAGAGACGCTGTTGTGAGAACGACAACACCGCAATTGTATCGACATCACGTTAGCAGTCGTCCTCAGTAAGCGCCATCTCCTATCGATTGTCTGAACTAAATTTGTGACGTCACTTGCTCTGCATTATCGTCAAAATGGCGGAACTCGTCTTTGGGAATGTTTTCACGATTTGTCGCTTTTTGTTCTTATATCAGCATATTTTGGGTTAAATGAGGGCTCATTTGAAAGAGGAAGGTCCAACGAAAGGTGCTCTGGTCATCATTCGAGTCACAAAATCCATTTAGTAACCTAAAAATACTTCCATTCTACGGATGTGTTTTGCTCGACTTTTGTTCAACTTTGGACGCTCCTATTATTAAATATTAACACACTCTCGTTTAATCATGACCAGAGCAC